GAGTTGGGGGCGAGAAGGCCAGCAGGCCGAGTGGTTAGGGGTGATCAGGCAGGCAGGCAAGTGAGCAGTTAGGAGCCAGTGGTCTCGGATTGTGAGGGGGATGTTTGACTGCTGATTTAGGCCCAATCCCATAGAGATCAGGCCTAAACCTGCAGTCGGACATCCCCTGAGGGATCCCAGATTGGAGAGGGTGCAGGCCAGGCTGAAGGACAACCCCCTACCGCCTGTGCACAAATTTTGTGCACCGGGCCACTAGTATAAATATAAAATCCTCTTCCCCTTCAATAGATTCCCCTCATACTTAAAATAATCTGAATTATGATAATTTTATTATATAATGCCAAATAGGTATTCTGTCAAATGTTGAATTTAGGTAAATATTTAAGCTTCCAGAATGGACTTATAAACCTTATATAAAGATGGCTTGATGTTATAGTCTGACTGGTTGAGTGTATAATATCCTAAAATTAAATTATTTTGTCTTTTATTAAAGAACCTTTTATTGGAATATGATAAGCAGTCAGAGCACTTGGATATAGAAAAAGAACGTGCTAATAATTTTGAGCATCAAGTAGAAGACCTTACAAGACAATTAAGGAATTCAACTTTTCAGGTAATTTTAAATTGAGAAAATGCATACATGAAAATTATAATAAGTAGATTTCATTTTCAGTATATTTGCATAAAATAAAATTAATACATAAGCAGAAACTTAATTTCATTTTCTTTTCCCACTGTTGGGAAAAAAATTAGCAACTATCCTATCTTACTTACTGCTCTAATCCAAGCATGTCAAACTCGTGGCCCACAACGAATATTTTTGCAGTCCAGCCAATATACTGGTATGTAAGAAATGTTTAAATACAAATTTTTAACTTAATTTTTACAATATCCTGCTATACATAACTATTAATAATGAACTACAATTTTCCCTAATGACTGATTACTATAATTGTGTTGCATTCACTTCCCTTATGCGCAGGCACACCATTTCTCTCCACTAATACTAGCAGCGAATGTTTTAGCAGCCAACTGCCATGTCATTAGTCTTGGACTGACTAGTTTGGTGTACAAAACAGGAAATACTTTGCTTTCAGAGAACCAGAAAAATAGGTTTATTTGCCTTACACTTACTAATTTGTTTTTGCTAAGTTAATGTTCAAGAAAAAATATTAATTCTTATTAAAATATTCTATTTCAGCCCTTTGTATTCAGCATGTCTTTATTGAAATAAACCTACGTTTCTATGAAAATTGAAGCTTTTTTTTTTTTTGTTAGCCCACATAAACTTAAACCTTGTTTATTTGGCCTCTGTTAGTCTTTGAGTTTGACATGCTTGTTCTAATCTCAGTTCCCTTCGGGATTTCTTGGTTTTGTTTAATTTTTGCCATTTTATCTGCCAGTGTTCCTAGTCTTTTATACTGTTTGCCAAATTAATATCCACAATTATAGTGTTTAAAACTTATCCTCAACTTAACATTGTCATTCTTTGAAACTGATTTTGAAATCTTCATTTTTTAATACTATGGCAGCATTCTTGTTAATATACCATTTTTTTAAAAATATATATATTTTATTGATTTTTTACAGAGAGGAAGGGAGAGGGATAGAGAGTTAGAAACATCTATGAGAGAGAAACATGGATCAGCTGCCTCCTGCCCGCAACCAAGGTACATGCCCTTGACTGAATCGAACCTGGGACTCTTCAGTCCACAGGCCGACACTCTAGCCACTGAGCCAAACTGGTCAGGGCATTAATATACCATTTTATTCTTTCATTCCTGTATATATTTTGTGTGTGTATACAGTAATCAGTAATTTCTCATTCTAGTGTGAAAAGTTAAATTCTGACAATGATGATCTCCTGGCTCACGTTGAAACACTACAGTCTAATGTCAAGTTACTGGAAGTACAGATTTTAGAGGTCCAAAAAGCCAAAGCAATGGTAGACAAAGAATTGGAAGCTGAGAAACTTAAGAAAGAGCAGAAGATAAAGGTAAAAATAGTCCTGTGGGATTAATTCATGTTATACATTGATGTTTTTATCAAAGTATTATTTACAAGACTAGAGGCCCAGTACACGAATTTCGTGCACGGGTAGGGTCCCTAGTGGCTGCTGGCTGCCGGCCACGGCCTTCCTTCCCCTGGCTGCCTGCCGCGGCTACCAGCCAGGTCCTTCCTTCCCCCCGCTGTCAGCCAGGGCCTCCCTTCACACCTGCCTTGGCCTGGCGCCACCTGCTCACCTGCTCCACCACCCCACCGTGGTTCCACTCTCATTGGGGCCCATCGGGGCCAGCAGGACCTCCACTGCCTCCCACGGCCAGCACCGTGTCACCGATGCCTACCATGTTCTGCACCGCCCCCTGGTGGTCAGCGCACGTTTAAATCCCGGTTGGTCAAACTCCTGCCCATAGGGACAATTTACATATTAACCTTTTATTATATAGGATGGAAATATTGTTCTGGCCAGTTTGGTTCAGTGGTTAGAGTGCTGGCCCATGGTCCAAAGTGTCGTGGGTTCAATTCCCAGTCAAGGACACAGTAACTCAGTTTCAGGTTCAATCCCAGTCCTGGTCAGGAGGCAACCAATCCATGTGTCTCTCTTTCCCCCAACCCCACCTCTATTCCCCTCCTCCTGTTTCACTCTCTAAAAAAAAAAAACAATTAAAAACATATCCTTAGGTAAGGATTAATAACAACAAAAAAGATGGAAAGATTACTGAGTAGCATTTGTTAATATAGCAAAATCCATTAATTCCTTAATGTATGCTAACTGTGAATTTCAGAACCCAAGTTATGATTTTTGAGTGTACAGTAGGTCCTCAGGTTATGTTGGAGATCCATTCCTACGGTGCGAGGTAACGTGATTTTCGCTGTAAGTCGGAACCCACCTACATAAACACCTATGTCACTCATCTGGAGCACATACACAGCAGTAATGAAGTGAAACAGTAAAAAAAATGTAGAAGAAAGAACAATTCCTGACCTTTGTGGTAAAAAATAATAAAAAACATAAAGCACATACGTACATATGTCAAAATGACGAAACTTTTTTTTTATAAATACTGTAAATGGGAGATGGCGACGTAACCATGAAACAACGTACATCGAGTCCGAAGTAACCCAAGGACTGCCTGTATATTTTTTAAATATTGAAAGATTTCAAACACTTTGTATTTTATTATGTCAGATTTTATAGTTCCTTACAAATACCTTTTTAATGTTGGTTGGCTTGGGGTGGGGGGTGGGGGTTTTTAATTTTTAATTTTAGGAGCATGCCAGTTCTGTAAATGAACTTGAAGAACTTCAGCTACAACTTCAAAAGGAAAAGAAACAGCTACAGAAAACCATGCAAGAATTAGAACTGGTTAAAAAGGTAAAATAAAACATCAGACTCATAACTGATGTCAGTAATTATCTTTGTTAAACTATTCTATAAACATTGAAAAGAAATCTTTCAAAAACATGGTTACTTACTTGCTGTACTAAAATAATCCTATCTAATAATAGAAACATGGTAATTGACTGTACCTTCACTACGCCTCCCATTGGCTAATCAGCGCGATATGCAAATTAACCACCAACAAAGATAGTGGCTAATTTGCATACTGCAGGCAGATCCCGCTGCGCCGCCCCACCTGGGGCTGGTGGCAACGTGATCCCCAGCTGCCAGCTGTCCCAGCACGAGATCTGGGCCTGCCATGTGCGGGTGGGGTGGGCAGGGTGGGCGGCAGCACGATCTGAGCGGTCACCTGATCCAGCGCAGGATCCGGGCGTGCCATCTGCAACCGGGGGAGACGGGGCAGACACCGCGGGATTGGTTGTGCCATCTGCCACCAGGGGAGCGGGCCTAAGCCAGCAGGTGGTTATCTCCGCAGGGGTACCAGACTGTGAGAGGGCACAGGTTGGGCTGAGGGACCCCCAGTGCCAGTCCACAAATTTTTGTGCACCAGGCTTCTAGTCATTTATAAGTTGCTTGCCTCGTAATATTGAAAATTGAACTTATTTCTCTGAATGCCTATCCCTCCAGAAAAATCTAGGCTCAGGAATTATTGGATATTTTGGATGTTGGGTTGGTATTTTATTTTTGTACATGATTATTCTATGACACATGAAGATTTAACTTTGGCTTATTTTTCTCAACTTTGTCCAAGATGAGGCTAATAGGAAAAGTACTGTACAAGCTGTTTAAAATACTAGTATTTATAAATAAGAGCCCAATAAGAGAATAACTACCAATTGAGGTTAATAAAAAAATAAGAGATACAATGAAAGTGAGAAAGTTTGATTAAATAAAGTATTACAAAACACATTTTGAAATTACAAAGTATTCAACTTTTAATTTCTTCATTACTGTATAAACTTTATTTCAGAAAAGCATAGTGGAATCTGTTTATTCCTATGGCATCATTTTAGTAAGTTTACATTTGAAATTAACTAATCTTTTATTTTGTGGATCATTTATTTATAATATGTGCAGGATGCCCAACAAACCACATTGATGAATATGGAAATAGCTGATTATGAACGTTTGATGAAAGAACTAAATCAAAAGTTAACTAATAAAAACAGCAAGATAGAAGATTTGGAGCAAGAAGTAAAAATTCAAAAACAGAAACAAGAAGCCCTACAAGAAGAAATGAGTGAGTAAAACACAGTTCTTTTTAAATGTATTTTATTGATATTTTACAGAAAGGAAGGGAGAGGAATAGAGAGTTAGAAACATCAATGAGAGAGAAACATTGATCAGCTGCCTCCTGCACACCCCCTACTGAGGATGTGCCTGCAACCAAGGTACATGCCCTTGACTGGAATCGAACCTGGGACCTTTCAGTCCGCAGGCCGACACTCTATCCACTGAGCCAAACCGGTTTCGGCAAACACAGTTCATTTTAACTTAACAATAACTTCATCATAACAGAGTACAGTAGAGCAACATTACTTGTTTATTTCACCAGTTTTTGACTGCCAACCAGATCTTTCACACAGTGCTAACCATTTTTAAGGACCAGAAAAGTTGTAAAACCATTTGTGGTCCAGACATTGACAGCCCATTTTGGTGAATAATGCATTCACTTAAGTATTTCGTAAGTACCTGCTATGTGAGTAATACAAAAATAAAAAAGGGGGTCCTTGTCAATGATATTTTTATTGTCAGCAGAGTGGGATAATTTAAATAGCAGTGAAATCTTTCTTTTTAAGGTGATTATATTCCATTTTATCCATAATGGAATTAATGCTTACATTAATATCTCTTTAGACCTAGCTCATTCAGCTACATCTCACAGAATGATATGTTGTATTTTTATTTTAATTCAGCCCATAATATTTTTTTTGTTTCCTTTGACTCATGGATTATTTAGAAGTGTGTTGTTTCTCTCCTAAATATTTAAAGGAATTTTCAGATAGCTTTCTGTTAATGATTTTTT